GCAATTATCACAGCTTAAATAGGCAGGTTATTTAAAATTAGATTTGTCATAGTGATCACTTGTTTGAAGCGGTCAGTCGGGAAATACGTCCTCTTTTTTGCTTTTCAAAATATGGTAACTGTGTGGCTCAGTGGTTAAGATGCTGAGCTGCAGACCGGAAGGTCTGTAGTTCAGCGGTTCGAGAGCCTAGTGCCGCGTGACGGACTGAGTTATCTCTGGCCCCAGCTCCTGCCAACCTAGCAGTTCAAAAGCAAGAAGTTGCAAGTAGATAAATAGGTACCGCTTTGGTGGGAAGGTAACAGCGTTCCATGCGCCTCGGTATTTAGTCATGCTGGCCACATGCCCACGGAGAAGTCTTCAGACAGCGCTGGCTCTTCGGCTTGGAAACGGAGATGAGCACCGTCCCCTAGAGTCAGATTCGACTAGCTTTCAAGCAAGGGAAACCTTTACCTTTTTATTTAAAACTTACACAAAACAAGGCTAGACAGAAGTGGGTTGCCAGGTCCCCCTTGGCCACTGGTGGGGGATGAGAGGGTAGGGTTGCTAGATTCAGGTAGGGAAATGTATCTGTAGATTCTAACGCAGGAGTTTCTTGGTGTGAAGGGTGGGGGCTTTGATGCAACAAACATAGGCTTGCCAGCTCCGTGTTGGGAAATACCTGGAGTTTTTTGGGGGGTGGAGCCTGAGGAGGGTGGGGTTTGGGGAGGGACATCAATGGGATGCAATGCCACAGAGTCCACCTCCTGAATTGGCAATTTTCTCCCAGTGAGTCTATCTCTGTCACCTCTAGTGTGGGATCTCTAGCCACCACCTGGAGGTTGGCAACCGTACACTGAACTCCTGGCTATATACAAGCTGATAAGGTTTTGAATTGGTAATCTAACCCTTCTTGGGATAAAAGTCTGCAACGGGCAATTCTCGCCAGATAGGAAGACCAACTGGTACAAAGTTCAGCCAAACACTGTTGTGCAAAGTTCTACACAACTCAGTTTTTACAAGTCCGCAATGAGCTTGATGGGTGAGTTATTAATACCATTCTTCGTAGTTAAAGTTCATGTCTCAGCCAGGCCCTTCCGAGGAAGAGAGGAGGCAGGGACTGGCCCAGAGGCTGTTGCACTGAATGTGGGAAAAGAACAACCTTGAGTTCAGTGTGCGGAGCAAGCACTTTCGGAAGTCCTTTCCCCACCCCCTAAAAGGTCAGGGTTGACATGGAAGCTTGCCACCATCGGGGCAGGGCTTTGGATAGGCAACCTTGACCCTGGATAACATTACTGGGAATAAAATGACATAAACGGGGAGAACTTCGGGGGGGGGGAGAGAAAATACTCATAGTAGACTTTAAGGGCAACATATGAAGAGCCCTGCTGGACCAGACCAGTGGTCCACTTGTGCCAGCCCCCAGTTTCACCAGTCTAAGATTGCTGATTGCAGTTTGGGAAATTTCTGGAGATTCGGGAGTTATGCCTGGTGAAGGAGGAAGAAGCGGTTCA